TTGAGAACCAGCACCAATGACATTTAGTGCCTTTGCGACTTGCAGTCCCAAGTTTCAAAACGCTGATGGCATCAGTCTTCTCCTTGAAGCATTTATTGGTCACTAAAATTAGACAAAGAGGTGAAATGACCGAAGGTCACCCAAGCAGGTCGGTGTCAGAGCTGGACAGAAAACCTCCTCCTTGCGTACTGGAGCTGGCCACTGACCCAGGCACTCCACAGAGCCCCGTTACGGTGGTGCATTTACTCAGCTTTGCTCCGTGTCATAATTCATTGTCTGTGGTGTTATGGATATCTAAAGGGTAGGATTTTAACTTAGCAATCTGCTGTGTTATTGAATTAGTTTTATGTTGTGTTAATTTCTTTGTCTTGTGGCATTCATTGCCTGTGATAATTGATGCACAATATATAACCGACTTCTGTATTCATTTGGGTAACTGCATTTAATTGCCTGGTATAAAATATGCGTACTAAGTACAATCTGCTACGACTGCTATGACTGAGGAGTGCTCATTGGTATGGACTTGAGGCTGCTTTATCTTCCTGAAAACCTGTCTGAGGAAAGCCTAAATGTCTCCAACAATCCACCATCTAAGGATTGGTACTTGTGCTGTGTCTGCAAAAAGAGAGACCACAAAAAGTGTCCTGTGGAATTGCTTTACAAAGTATTTGGCATTAAAATTTTGTTAATCAGAAGCTCTCAAATAAGGAAGTTTGTATTAACGTCCCTGCCTCTCCCAAACCTCAAGGAACAGGGGCACACAGAAGTCTTCGCACATTTTCTCCTGTAAATCAGGATTATGGCTTTATTTGCTTCTGAAGTTACTCCCCTGGAGTAAAGCTACTCCCAGGCACAAGTCTTTATAAACACAGATTTCTTTTACGTTCAGGTCATTAATGCCCAGAGGAGACCTAATGCATTATAAATCAGGAATGCTTTCTAAAAGCACTGTGATGTCAGTGAAACGGGATCGATTAATGTCTGCTCATGATACACAGGATCCCTGCATAAACTTACACTGTGTTGCCTGTTTAACCAGTATCACAGTGATTCCTTTTATTTTTAATAAAGCAAGGATCTTTACTAGGAGATGTATTTCTTATCGTACACAGCACTTTGGTTATTATATGGCCTAGTGATTGGGTTTATTTGTTTCCCTGGCTTGTTTTGATTTCAGTGTCATGAAGTGTATAGTAATGCAGTGTCTGAGCTCTACAAAGAAATGCTGAAATTTGCCCAAAGCTGATTTTACTTTAAGCACTAATGAAAACTTCCCCTATCTGAATTTTCAAAAGTTTTTAAACAAAAGCTAATGGTTGAGTCTAAATCAGGTGTGAAATGCCTGTGAGATTATTTTAGTCATATTATGTTACTCTGTGTTAATGTAACTGGTGAGTTGTCAGTACAAGGGATGTTCACAATTAGTATTTTTCTTTTTAAGAGAGCTGGTTTCTACCGGCTGTGTCCTTCAGGATGTAGCATTAGTTCTGCCTGCAGCTTGCTGCAAATTATTCAGTGTTCATAGGTACATTTATACTTGTTATTCAGCTCTCTTCCACTGACAAAATAGCCTGGAGCAGTTCTTGGTTAGATAGGACTAGTTCCACTTTAAGCTCCTCATGTGCTGTTTTGTGGTTTTTCTCTTGTTTCAGCCTGTATTGCATCCAGGTCCTGATAATAAAACAGTAGACCTGATGGTCAGAGAGGAAACAAAGCTGCTCAGAGACAGTGAGAGAGTATTTTTTGAGCAAAAAGACTGGTGGCATAGTACAACAGGAGTTTCATCAATTAACTTACAAATTCTGCTTTATTTCATATTCATGGTTCTTTGTTCTTTCTCTGCAAAGACTTTTAACAAATACTTGAGGCTAATTCATGAAAGTATACCAAAATTTGAAATATGTGGACAATCTGGTAGAAGACAAATACCAAAAAAGTCACCTATTAATTCCCAGTAGGCTGAAGTGCATTCGTCTAGTCCAGTGTCTGATCCTTCATGATCTGGTTCCCATTTCTGGAAAAGCTGGTACAGCTGCAATGTAGATTTGAGGAGAAGAGAGTGTGGAGTTCAGCAGCAGAGCTCGTTATATCAACCAGTGCACACTTCACAGGGCAGTAAAACAGAGGAAAAGGGGATAGTAAAGAAAGTCTGACACCCACCCCAGTAATTCATACCTTTGCAGGTCGTCTTCCAAAACTCTGAGGCAGCACCTCCTTCTTCCCCACTAGTCAGGGTGATGTGTTATGGGGACAAGCAACCAGCACACAGCAAGATGTGAAGATGCATTTCATTGCTGTTGGTTTTCAGATGTGCCTTCCTACATCAAGACAGCAAGGCTGCTGATCATGGGAAGAGATGAACCACTCTCATCTGGGCTATTCAGCATACATTTGTAAATCAGGATTGATTTGGGAGTGATTCATAAAGAGTGAGGGGGGCTGTAGTGCACGAGAAATAACTTATTGACAAGGAATATTTCAGCTAGCTCTAACCTTGAAATAGATGTTTGTCATCAGAATTTTATAGCCTGAGTGGAAAGAGCTAAGTACAAGTTTAAGGAGCTGAACAGGAGACACCCAGTTTTTAAAAACTTGACATAAATCTCGGGTAACTTGCATTATGGTAGTCACATTCCCTGCAGAGGACCTTAGCTCACTGTTTGTTTGGTGTTTATAGATGTTATTTAAAAAATAATTTTATCATAAAATTATTTTATGTTCTGTATAATGAAGAGTGGAGATCAAATAAGAATTGGAATTGCAAATTCAAATATTAAGAGTTGATAAATATTGACTTTTAAAGAGACCCTCTGTAGATTTGAACAAAACACTTTTTAGTCTAGTATACTGGTTATTTGAAAATTACAACATACTAAAAAAAAGTACAGCATTATCTGACCCTGACTCTTTCTTCACTTTTACAGCTATTGATGTGGTCATGTTCCTATGAAGTGATCTGTGCAGTGTCAGGGAACTGTAATATAAAACTTTCTATCTTGTACATTATGCACAACGCGTGAAAAAAGAAAAGTATGGAAGGTACTAAGATAAAATATAGTGTAATCACCTTAACTGTGTCTTTTCTTAAGATGAATTCTTAGGATTTTCACTCTGGAAACTTCTTGATTAAGGTTTTTTGAGTACTGTTTCAAAGACAGCACAAATATATTGGAGCTGAACAAGTCACCAACACACACCTGCACAGCATTAATGACACCCACGAACACTTGGAAGCACTCTGTCAATTGTTGGCCACTAGTACCAAACACTGTAGGTCAGACCCTTTAGGCTGCTGGCCAGCCCTCCTTTGCCCATAGTCACCTGTAACTAAAGGACAGTGACTAACACGGGCATGTATCTATGATCATCCTCACGCCACTGCTCTCTCCCTCTGCTCTGAGTGCTGGAAGCTGCAGACTTTGGTCGCACCTCCTTCCCGTTCACTCATTCATTCTCCTTTCCGACCAGTGCTGTGCTGATGTGGTGAGCTTCAGAAATAACAATAACAACAGCAGAAAGTTACCCTTATGTAAAATTCATGGTCTGACAGATACCTGATGAAAGCAATGTGGTTTAGCAAGAAGCAGATACTGCACCTTTGCTTCAAACTAACTAACCTTTGTGAGACAAAGATCTGGGATTAGTTAAGGAGCAGGCATCATCCTCCGCTTTGTTAGGTTTTCTTACTTTTCCACATCTCTGCAGGCTCCATTCTGTAAGTCATTGCAAAGTACTTTTTTTCCCTCTTTTTCATCTCAAAACAGCGAACTATTTCCTTGAAACTTGCAGCATCAGTTGTTAACAGTTAACAAAAAATCATATTCATCCTTTAATATGTACCTTCAGCTGATGCCTTCATGCCGAGGAGGCTGTGTAGCTACTGATAAGACCTAATTTGTGAAGGGCTTTTCAGTGGTCTGGCAGGTTCATACGTGTTTGTTCAGCAGACAAGGACGCGCATTTGCAGAAACACCTCTACAGCGGCTGCTAAATTCATGCAGGGAGGCTGGGATTGGTGATCCAGCGGGAGTGGGCAGGAGCTTTGAGTGGATTCCCAAAGTGGTCTGTTGTTTTGCAACTGTGTTCTGACTGGAGCACTTGATAGCTGATTTTGTCCTTTCTCTTTCAGAGCCTAATGAGCTGTGTGTGGGCCCTGCGTTCATTGACATCCCATCTCAAGATGCTGCTAATACACTAGTTCATTATTCCTAGCTGAAGAAGTCTAACAGGAGCAACAGAAACTGGGGAAAAGCAATGGCTGCTGGTAAATATCTCAGGTCTGCAAAGGTCATAAGAAAATAGCTGGAAAGAGCTTATTGCAGCTGTGACTGGGGAGGAGGGAAGCAAAAATATGTGATCACACCTTGTGTTTGCAGGTTCAGAATCGGAAAAGTACCATCCCTTAGCTATCTGACCCACTCTTCCTTCCACAACCCAGGAAAACCCATGCCTGGGCTGAGTCTTCTTTGACCATATTCGTAGAATCACAGAATGGTTTGAGTTGGAAGAGATCTTTAAAGGTCATCTAGTCTAACCTCCCTGCAGTGAGCAGGGACATCCTCAGCTAGATCAGGTTGCTCAGAGCCCCTTTCAACCTTACCTTAAACATTTCCAGGAATGAGGCACCTACCACCCCTCTTTTGCCATAGGGTCAAACCAGTAGCTCAGGGCTTTCTCAAGTTCAGTCTTGAAAGCTGCTAAGGCGACTGCATGGCCCCCTCCACTGCTTGCCTGTCCTCATGGTGAAAAGGTTTTCCATATAACCAGCCTGAATCACTCTTGTTTCATTTTTATGTCTGGTGAATGTTTCCAATGTCTTTATGTTTTGCTGTAAAATACCGAGCACTATTATCAATGATCTTAAAGGTGAATCATAATGAAGAAACATAACAAGCCCAAAATAAGCAGCAGCTGTGATATCTCATTTTCACTGAAGGTTTTGGTTAAAAATCCCAGCACTTTGATTTTTCTACATACAGTGTGTTTTTTTTCTTGCAGCGGCTGATGGTTTGGGAAGTATAGCTATAGATACCACACAGCTTAACATGTCAGTCACTGATCCGACGGCTTGGGCTACAGCTATGAATAACCTGGGGATGGTTCCAGTAGGACTGGCTGGACAACAACTTGTGACAGGTAAGATTTTTCTTTTTTAAAGAGGTCTCTTGTACTGCCCATTAATTCCTTGGGCCCTTTTAGAAAGATATGGAATGATTTCTGAGGATGTTATTTGATATTCTGAAAACATCACCTATGATTAATGTTACATGCTGTATATTAGTCTATTCTAGTATTAGGTATATAATCCATATTATATTTTAACCTTGTGGAAAAGCCAAAACTCTTTGGGGAAATTATACAACTAAACCATTGATCCTTATGCTGGGTCAAGACCAGGAGGCAGATCACATAAGAGAAACGTTCTCTGTTCAAGCAGGATGTCTTGAGGTTCTGCTAAGGAATACCCTGGGCTAGGTACTCTTGACTGAAGAAAGATTATGAAGTTATGTTAACTGGGCAGAAAATCACAAAGCTCATTCAATTCATATGCTCAGGTGATATTAGTGAAGGGAAACCTTCCTGTCAGGTGTACTTATTGATTTTCTGCCTGACTCCATAAATTGAATTTCAAGAGGTTGTTCTTGTTTGATTTTGTCATTTCACTTCCCAAACATAGTTTGGGAGAGCAGTGCAGGGGATTGCTTATTCTATCAACAATAAAGATAATTTGAAAACAGCAATTTGTCACAGACAAACCTGGACATATCAGACTTCATTGTCAACAATAAAGGGCCAAATAGTTGGGATTAATAAAATTTCATTGCGCCTGTAAGACAGAGAAAAAAATTTTTTTTTTATGGATTGGCACCCTATAGACACAACCCACATGCTGGAAACTGCATTGCCACCTCAGCTTAAGAAGGGCTGTGCAACATCTGGATCAGAGCAGCATCCTGCCACATCTGCACCCGTCCATGTAGACATGGATAGAGTGATTCAGGTCATGATGTAAATCACTCTGCCCGCCTCACCAAGGATGCATGATGCTTGATTTTGGCCAAATATGTCCCCTTCTGACACTGGGAACTGAGTGGAGCTATGCCAGTTCACAGCTGACAGTCTGGCTCTGAATTACCTATTCTACAGGCGGGTTAACTGAGCTGCAAGAAACCTGATTTATAATGAATCAGTCTCAAGCAGAGAGTTTAGCTGGTGGAGGCCATGAACTGATTCTTGCTCTCTGGCTTTAACCCCATGCTCCCAATTAAAAGAAACAGCCAAAGCTATCTGCTCCTTGGGAGCCAGTTCTCTTCAACGTTTTTTATCAATGACCTGGACACAGGAGTTGAGTCCACACTAGGTCTGATGATGATACTAAATTAGAAGAGGCCGTTGACTCCATTGAGGATTTAGAGGCCAAATATAGAGATCTGGATAGATTACAGCACTGGGCAACCATCAACTGTACGATGTTTAACCAGGACAAATGCTGGACTCTGCATCTGGGACAGTGTAATCCTGGATGTACGTGTGTAGTGGGGAACAAGAGGCTGGAGTGCAGGGGTTTTTGGTTGATGAGAAGCTCAATATGAGCCAACAATGTGCCCTGGCAGCCAAAAGGGCCAACCTGGGGTACATTAAGCACAGTGTAGCTGTCTGGTCAAAAAAGGTGGTCATCCCACTTTACTTAGCATTGGTGCAGCCTCACCGGCATTACCACATTGTGTGTGATGAAAAGGATATAAATATATTAAAGTCTGTCCAAGGGGAGGCAACAAAGACGGTGGAAGGACTAGAGGGCAAGACTAAAGAGGAGCAGCTGAGGATACTAGGTTTGTTCAGCTTAGAGAAGTGGAAGCTGAGGGAAGACCTCATTGCTGTCTATAAATTCCTCATGAAGGGGAGCAGTAAGGGTGGTGCTGATCTCTTCTCTGTGGTGTCCAGTGATAGGATGCAAGGGAATAGCCTAAAGCTGTATCAGGGGATGTTCAGACTGGTTATTAGGAAAAATTTCATCACTTTGAGGGTGATCAAGCACTGGAACAAGCTTCTCAGGGAAGTGGTGATGACCCAAAACCTGTTGGTATTCAGGAAACATTTTGGCAACACTCTTCTATATATGGTTTAACTTGTCATTTGTGGAGTCAGGAGTTGGACTCGATTGTCGACGTGGGTCCCTTATATCTCAGGACGTTTTATGAATCTACATGCTGGTGAGGAAACAATTTTCCATTTTCTGGTGCAGCTTTGCCTGTAGGTGGTGTGCTCAAGTTGAATGCGATTACCTCCGAACCTGAAAATAGCTGCATGTCAAAATCAGCTTCTGCAGCTGTCATTTATAAGCATCTCAACTGCATATCCTGTGGAGGTTTGCCCATTTTTTGTCTTTCCCTTTTCCTCTGTCTCTCCACTTCGGTGTAAATTGTGTCCTCGTGTGCTGTGCAATCCCTACATGGCATCCTCATCTCACATGCAATGCCTTTCCCCACAAGGGAGGATCTCCAGGACTTTATTTCATTACCAGCTCCCTACTGTAATTTCCATAGTTATGTGTATCACGTACTGTAGGAGTGTTGTACAGGGCAGTTGGTATTTGTTCAGCATTTTCAATGTATGAAAGGTGCCATAAGTAATAAATATTAATTACTGAAGTGCTGTCTCATGTCTCTACGGGTGCAGAATAACTTCTTTTCTTTCCTTTTCTTTCCTTATTTAAGATTTGTATTTTCAAAGTAAATAGGTGTTTTGACATTTCATTATATTTCCTTATGATTCATAAGTTTTTGACACGTTTTCTTCATGGCAAATCTAGAATGGCAAAACCACAATTTACCATGAAGAGGCTTATAGACTTATTTGCTATTATGTATTTACTGTTATCTGCATTCAGTGAGACTTTGCATTGTCATGTTCGACCATATATATAACTAGTCCTTAGCCCTTTCTGACATTTTTTTCCATTTCTTTGCTATTATTCCTAGCAATGAACTCATCTTTATCAGCAGTCACATACTGCTTTTGCTACTGCCATCTATGATATTTCTAGGCGATTAAAATGACACACTCATGTCCCAGTGCTAACTTTTTTTGTCTTTAAAAATTTATTTTATTCTTTTTTCCTGCCTTGATGACAGCTAGGAAAGCAGTAAGTAGTTTACACTGATTTTGGAGAGAGTGTGATCTTTTCTGGATATCTTTACATAACCTGCCATAGTCTGAAATCTGGTGTATGGTTCTCTGATCTTTCAATTACCGAAGGATTTATCCATTCACAGTCTTTCCTTCTCCAAACCAACTGGTTCCTAATTCCTAAATTGCAGTGGCTTTTGTTCCCTTAGGTATGGAGCCCACAAGATCCACTAAGTCTTTCTAAAGGTTTTTGTAGTTTTACTTTTTTTCCCAGCTGTTGTTAACTTAGCTGCTGTGTGACATGCTGGGATGCTTGCCTTGTAACAGAGTTATGCTCACCACTTTGGGATCTGTGAAGCTCCTGCCTAGCCCGAGAGTTTGTTAAAATGACAACTAAAGCTTCTGAACATCTGGCTAATACTCTTTTTACAGCCTGGGATGTAGGCTGTCTGCTCTTGGTAACTAATCAATTTTAAGCACTGCTAACCTTTTAGTACCAGTTTAGATGATATCTACACTCTATTTAATTCCTTATCTCCCAGTGCTGTAAAATTGGATTTTTGATCTGGGCAAATGTCAGAGCCTTTCATTTGTAAAGATGGATTCTTGTTAATAGTTGTGTAGTATCTCTTCTGTTTCTACATAGATTTTTCTTACACTTATTGTTATTCAGAAAGCTTACCTTTTTTCATATTTGGCTACTGCATTACATATAAGTGAAAATATGCATTTATACAGAGCATATACGGAATTCATACAATAAACTGTAGCTTAATAATGCATTAGTTAAAGTGTTAAAGATTGATGTGGAATAGTTATGGCTGAAAAGTGCTTTCATTCTAAACCTCCCCTTTCAGAAGGTTATATTTTTTTCCAAAAAAATTGCCTTTTGGGCTGAAATTTCTTACGGTTGGTCTCAGTCCAGAGTGAAAAACATTCTGGAAAGGTTGGAGAAAATCTGCTGATCTGCTTTTGAACTATCCAAGCCTTAAAACTGCTGTTTTCTATGCTTTGAGACTTTGAGAAAAATGGTCAGGTGAGAGGGGAAGGATAGTTCGTACTCTACCTTTTTGAGATCTGAGTCCTCTTTGTGCACTCAGCAACTCTGATTCAAGCACATCTTTCAAGCACATTCAAGTCTGCTGTTTTGTTACATTTTAGAACTGGCAGAAAAACTCAGTGACCTCAGGCCAGCTGAGAATGTTTTATTTTGCTTTTGCATTAGTACTTTTTTAAAGGCAACTTTGGCATTGCTAAAGTTCGTGTTCTTATGCTTATATGTTTCAACAAATGACATCAGGTCACCTGTTTTCTAAAGGAAGACATTCTGCCAGGAAAATTATTTACTTCTCCAGTTCAATTTGGTTCTCCTTTCACTAATAAACTATTGCCCTGAGAAACACAAAGCAGTTTTGAGATGCTTTCTTCCAGAATGACTTAGATGACCTAAACATTTGTTGGTCAAAAATGATACATTCCAAAAAGTTCCTTGGTACAAATGAACATGAAGAGTGGTACGTGAGTGGTAATTCTTTCAAACTTAGTTAAGCTCATGCCCTGTGCCACATATTTGTGCTCTTACAGAGAAAAATAACAGACCATAAGGGCAAACATCCAAAATGAAAGTTATAGATCTCCCTAGAATTCAGGGATATGCCTGAAAACTGGTGTTTGCTACTTATTTACAGGATAAATAAATAACATTTACAGCTCATGAGCTAGCAGAGCTCATTGATAGAGCTTTAAACTAGCCTTGAAGTGGAAGGGGGACAATGTCAGGCTTGCCCATGACAAGCTGTGGGATGACATGCCATGGTTAAAGGGATTGGTTGCTAGCGATGGTCCTCAGCCTGTTGCTCTGAGATGTGCTGAGTATACTGCAGCACACCTGAAATCCTACAGAGATGAGCCAGGGGCTCCTGAGGTAATAGGAACCAGCAGGAAAACACCAGTAAAATACCTTAAAGGAGTTAAAGTGTTTTCCTCTAAGAAGGTGACACATTCGA